TCTCGAGGACTGGCTGGAGCCTGTGTGCACTATCAACAGCGACCGGTACTGTGAGGCTGCCAGAATGCTGCGACTGCACATTCAACAGCGCCATCCGGGCAAATGGACATGATACGTGCTGTTGCAAGACGACAGCGCACGTCCCCACACCAGCCAGAACACCCGCGACACTCTCGAGGCATTGGGCTTCGCTGTGTCGCCACACTCTCTGTGCTCGCCCTATCTGGCCCCCTGGGACTACGCCTTGTTTGACATGATGAAGGATGCAGTCAGGGGCCAACATGTTGAATCTTCTGCCGAATTGTGTGCAATTGTCCGTAGGTGGTGCACCAACAGCCCCACAGACTGGTTTACCAAAGCTTTTCGGGACCTTCCAGCCAGATGGCAGAAGTGTATTTTACTTGCACGGAGATTATTTCTAACTGAGGTACTATACGTATTTTTGTTAATAAATTGTATTCCGCTATATGGCAGCATTTGCGTCATTCATTTTTGTACGACCTAAATAGTACGACAGAGGAGGTGGAAAAACGATTTTCTATATGGACTGACAATGAAATTAAATGCAATATGACATTAAGCCAGGTTATTGTAATGGAAACAGCGAGAAGAATTTTTTAAATCACATTCGGATTGAAACAGGTGACACAACTAAAACTTTCGTCGCAAGTCGCGGATGGTTTAATAGATTACACGTCGAAACAATAGTCATAACATACAGATTACAGGAGAAGCAGCAAATGGAGGTATAAAACCGGTGGCTGAATTCCCAGCGACATTAACTGAACGAGGAAAGTATCCTCCAGAATAAGCTTTTAATGTCGCTGAAACGAGTCTATTTTGGAAATGAATGCCAAAACATACATTTATATCCCATGAAGGAAAACGTGTACCAGGATTTAAAGCTGCGAAAGATCGCTTACCACTTCTCTTGGGTGCTACCGCCAATGGAGACTTCAAATTAAAGCCATTTCTTATTTATCATTCTAAAAGACCCAAGAGCGATGAAAAATATCAAAATTAACTATACCTGTAATTTTGGAATCTAATAAAAAATCATGAATAATTATGAAAATTTTCCAGATTTGGTTCACGGAACATTTTTGCCCGTTTGTTAAACGCTATTGGGAAATCCAAAAACTTGCACAGAAAGCGCCTACTTTTAATGAATAATGCTCGAAGCCATCCAACGAATTTATCTGACTTAATAGCATGCATTCCAGTCGAATTGGTTTTCATGCCGCCTAACACAACTGCAATAATCCAACCAATGGATCAAGGTGCTATATAAAATTTTAAAGCTTATTACCTGCGGTGCACATTTAGACAAATGTTTGAAAATACAGACGAAGATAATAAACATTCAATAAGAGATTTCTGGAAGAACTATAATATCACGGATGCTATAGAAAACATAAATCTTTCTTCGAATGAAGTAACGGAAAAATGTTTGAAAGAAATGTGGAAAAACATTTGGCCAGATTTAAACAAGGACGATGACACTAGAGTACTGTTGTTGTATGAACGAAAAATAGTGGAATTCGCAAAACAGGTTTAGATGAAGTAAATGTGGAAGATCTCGAAGAAAATTTGAAAGGAACAGAAGAAAGTCTTTCTAATGATGAGCTCACGGAATTAGCGGATCAAGAACACAAAAATATTAAAACACCGATTCTGAAGAAGAGCGAAAAAAACTTTCAGCGGCATTTCTAAAAACCAGTTTAGCTTTCATAACGGAAATTATAGACTTATTTATTGAAAATGACACAAATTTTGATAGGAGTTCAAAGGTAAGACGGAGTGTCATGATGCCTTTTCCCTTTATCGAGAATTTTTTACCGCAAAAGAAAAAATGCAAATGACATTAGATACCTTCTTAATAAAAAAAAAAAAAATAAATAAAAAATAAAAAAATAATAATAAGAAGAAAATTAGAAATGCAGAAAAATCTGAATGATCTGAAAGATAAATGCGACTTAATTTCAGCGCCATGTGATTGTTATAGTAATGATTGAAGTAATTTACATTTATGTATAGATAAAATTTTCAATTTCGTTGAATTATTATTATTATTAAAAAACTAAAGTAAAGACATTAAAATTCGAAGGTAAAAGAATAACAAACGTAAAATGCAAAAAATTCAATAGATATTATGAATTTTTTTTGAAAGTTTTTAGATTCGTGTAATATTCGTAAAGGTAATGAATAAAATATACTATGATGACGTCAGCTTTGTTTTTCAGTAAATTTGGATTCGTATAATTATCGTAAAAATAGCGTGTGGAAAATACGAAAAAGGCTCGACAAAAAAATTTTATTCAGAGCACCCTTCTAATAAATTAATAAATCATTTTTATAAAAGAAACTGAAATTTTGAAAATAAAAAAAAATGAAGATATTATTCTTCATCGTTTTTATTCGCATAGTTTTCGTAAAAAAACAGTGGGGAAAAAAAAACATACCCTTATTTCGCGAAAATTATACGCATATTTTTGAAGGCGTTTGTCTGAGTCTTTTTGTGTTGCTATTCAAGATTGTGATTCTTAAGTAGGGTAACACGCGGCAGCCAGGATAACCTGTTGTCAATTGTTATTCCAAGATAGGTAACTCTGGAATGCATTTGACTGGATTTATAAGAAATTTGATACTTGGACTTCTCTGAAGTTGACCTTTGTATCCAATCAAGACAGCTTTTTGTCTTCTGGTTGAGATTCGCACTTTGCGCTTTCTGACCCATTGTGAAAATATATCGAGGCAGTGTTGAGTTCTTGTTTCTAAGTTACTTCTTCTTGCCCCTGTGATTAGAAACTCATCAACATATGAAATAGTACCTGCATATTTGAAATCTTTTGAAAATGCCGGAAAGCAGTATTGACTACTATATTCCAGAGGATCAGTCCCAGGCAGGAATCCTGAGGACAGCCTTTGTTTATATCCTTCATAAAGATTTCACTGTCAGCTGTGACCTGAATACTTCTATCTTGTAGATAGATCGTAGTAATGTGATTTTGCAGGAGGGGACAGGCCATCTTTTCTAGAACTGCAATTACATCAGGCCACCAGAAGGAGTCGAAGGCTTCCTTGATGTCTACCGTTACGGCCAGGGTATGTACAGACATCGCTCCTTGTTCTGCCGTATTGTTGCTATGAGATCTGCATGTTCTGTTCAACTTGCAAGGTCTTACGTTAATTAGCCAAATATTATGTTTTTGATCTTTACTATAACTTCTTTCTTTCCGTTTTCCCCACCAGAACAAAAATTAGCTTTGACAGTATATAAGCTGAGGGTTTTTAATCTTAGACACCTTTAAATATGGCTTTTTAGATGACAATATCACATTTTTTAATAAACTGAATTATTGTATTGTAGAAAATTTTAAAATTTCAAAACATAATCACATTTTATTAATATTGCACAACCACATTATTATCTGTACTTTTCCTCGCCCTTGTAATACTATTCTTAAATGAAATTAGTTTATAGGAGAGGACTAAAAGAGGTTCCGCTAGATGATTCAGCCGGTACTTCACATTGTTTTTCTACAACGCGACCGCAGTTTAAAATGGCTTTCATAATTACGTTAAAACTGGAGATTAAAGATTATATTAAAAACAATTCTAGTGCGAAAAATTTATTTTATATGTATCATAATTATGTATTTATAACTAATGGCAATGATTAATTTAATTCGCTTAAAACTATTTTCAGATTTGAATGGTAAAATTATATATATTCGGTTATTTCACAGCAAGGTTACGTGAGAAGTCAGTTGCACTGCCACCGCGATTTGAAGCCTCGCGAGCCGAAACGTTTGGGAACACCTGATGTAGCATAACATAACAGGAACGAAAATGAAAGGGAATATTCGCCTGTGGACGTTTTTAACGTCAAATAATTAAATTAATTGTTTCTATGCCAATCAGTGAAAAACAGGCCTAAAAACAAATAAATACGCACAAGTTTAGATCTTTCATTTAATAACTGCATCTCAGCATTACTTATGATTATAAATATTCTCAAATAGACCATCGTAGACTTACTTTCAGAAAAAATAGTTTTTTTTTTTTTATTTTTTATTTTACATGTGCCAATCATTTGATCAGCAGGCCATCAGACTTCTGACCTTTCAATAATTTTGCACAATGTGATTGAATAGAATTAGTATAGAATAAAAAGGTGAATATTTCCTTTTATCCAACGATTAGGTCGTCACTAGCTGTGATTAGTTTAAAGGTGCAAGCGATTAGTTGTCACTATTTTCTAGAGGAACATAAAATGCAAGTAGAAGAATCCGCCTGTCTAAATTGACGAAGATAAGATTATATAAGTAATTATGGCTTGTCAAAAAAATTGAATTTTGTCTTAGAGAATGTGAGATACAAATGTTTTCGTACTAAAACGAACGTCTCAGATCTTTTGCTTGCAAGTTTGCAGTGCATGAAAAGTCTATTTGTAAGTTAGTTTTTTTAGAACGGAAAAGTATGAGAAGGATGGTTAAATTCTTATTAGGTTATCCCATGGCTATGTCTCCATTCTTAATAAAGAAATTGGCTTTTTCATTACAACTGATTTCACAGTGGGAGGGAACCTATTGAAAAGCTATTCGATGTTGTGCCATAAAATTTCTCTAGACCTCTTAGTCACAGATCTAAACAATATTGTTAACAATTTATGCCTCTAAAGGAGAAGTTGAATAGAAAACAATTATTGCTTTTTCGAAAGCATCAAAACACAGGGTAGACTTTTGGAGAGCTGCAAATATTATATTCAGTTGGCCATTGAAATGAGTGTAATTTATGGCAGGAAAGCCGAACAGAGTTTGAGGTAAGAAATACCACCACCGGCTCCCTGTGTTGTATCCAGTTAGATATGTAGACAAGTAACGTAGGCAAGTCCAGGAGATAATAAATGGCCTCAAAGTTTATAAATATATGCTACCAAGTATTTAAAATGTTTTAAAAGGGTGAAAAAAATCCTTAATTAATTATTTCAATTTCAGATCCTGATACAAAAAAAGGCGATGGAATCTTCAGCCGGTACTTCACATTGTTTGAAGAGAAAGGGACGTATGTTGTAAGCGTTTTCTCAAGCGTTGCAACACCTGAAGAGGCAATGTTTGTCACAGGTAAAATCTTACTTCTCATGTCTTCACTTTTTTCTACAACGCGACCGCAGTTTAAAATGGCTTTCATAATTACGTTAAAACTGGAGATTAAAGATTATATTAAAAACAATTCTAGTGCGAAAAATTTATTTTATATGTATCATAATTATGTATTTATAACTAATGGCAATGATTAATTTAATTCGCTTAAAACTATTTTCAGATTTGAATGGTAAAATTATATATATTCGGTTATTTCAGCAAGGTTACGTGAGAAGTCAGTTGCACTGCCACCGCGATTTGAATAACGGATCTTCTAATTGTTAACTCAACGTGCTAACCATTTACAGCACGAGAACATGCACAGGGAAATGTGATAATTCCTTTTACTTTTCCCATTTGAAGAGCGACTGGAAAGAAACACGAAACCTACTTGATCAAATCGAAGCGTTAAAAAATTTTCATCCACCGCAATTTTAGTTCTGGAGCCACTATAAAGACTTCAGACCTTTTTAGGCCTTTTTTTAGAAACATTGGGCGAAGAAACCGAGATTCGAATCAGAGATATTCCAGATACTCTTCGGTCGTACTAACCACTTACACAACGAAAGCACGCAGGACGAAAGATGCAGAATCTTATTATGTGATGAACTGACCCCCTTTAACAATCTAGCAATTATTTCACAGCTTCTTAGAGATTTATTTCTACAAACGTAAACTAGCTAACCAAATTAAAACAGTGCTACTGAATACACAAATTTTGAAACTCAAATTACAGACTTTATAATAATCTAAGCTTAGGTTTGTAAACTATGCACCTTACAATCCGATAATTAAATAAGATAACATCACTTGTTATTTAGACTGGATTTAGTTTAAACTTTGAGTGCATTTACCTTTAAATTTACTTGTAAATCATCTATATATATTCTGAAGTTGATTATATTAACACGCATTGCGCTAGTAAAATTGGTAAGAACACATAACAAATTTAAACATGGTTTGATTTTAGCAGAAATCTTAATAAAAATGTGAGTTAGTGCTTTACTGTGGTAATTTCATTGTTACCTTAGACTAGAAATAAAAGTTTAGTATTACAGGGCGTCTATAAAAACACATTAAGTTTGTCGTCTTTTACAGTAAATATCTTCAAGAAAGAAACTGGCAACTGTCAAAATGGGGCAATAGTGCCTTAGTTTCAGATGGCGAAGGGTGGAGGAGCTAGGGAGCACAGTAAACAGAAACGGCGTCTCCATCATAGATCCAATAATAATAATATTTTTTTTTTCCTTTCAAATCACAATAGCTTACGGAATAAGCCCAACCAATGCACTACAAATACTCGCCGGCATACCTCCTCTGTTCCTGATATTGTAAAAGAAGACAACAATAAATAATCCTAATAACAAGGCTTAGAAAGAATGTAGACATTTAGGACAAATTTTATGTCAGCACAGACTATGGATACGACAAGAAACGTTTGGCATTACATTCTTCAAAAATAGACTTAAATGCTTTATTAAAGCCTCTCCAAACTCCGGAATTTACATATTTATACGCAGGGTAATTCAAAACTAAAGGAACAAACTTCTAGAAGGGGTACGGTATATCTAGATGACTCGGAATCTCATGTCAACGTGGAGTCGGAAATGCAGTCCTAATGAGATAAGACGGTTGTAAGGGGCTGTTGCGAGAAAACCATTGACAGCCACCCGCAAAGGTGTTAGGATTAAAAATATCTGAATACATCGGGATCGGAAATTGACATTTGAAGATCATAAGCTTAAAATACGTCATGACTTTTCTGATAATGAAGTTGCTCTAAGTTTCGTAACGTGGGCTCCTCATGGAATCTCGGACGTTTTGAATTACGCCGAGCATCCGGTCAAACGTCCGCGGTAGAAAGATGCACCATTTCAAAACGCGAAAAGCATTTTGAAAACGTCCGAGGTTATGCCACGTTATGAAATGTCAGGGACCTTAATCATCAGGAAAGCCGGAACTTATTTTTATGGTCTTTAAAGGTCAGTTTGTGATCACGATGAATTCCAATAAATTCTGTTCCCTACTACTATGATCATATGGAGGACAAACAAAGATACAGGAATGACGACCCAATAATGGGTTGGAAAACTCTTTATTTAGTGATGATTTACAATACATATACACTTTCAGTTTCACAAATGCTCAAAGTTCCGAGCGTTTACCGTTATGCAGACTTCATAACGGCGATGCATGGACTGTCGAACACTTTCAAAATACCCAATATGTCGCGGACGTTTGCAGCCGCCAAGGAGATGCCTGTTTTGAATTCCTGTGTTTCAGTCAACTGCCATCTTGCCATGGCTTTCGAGGTCCCGCACAAGAAGACATCCAGGCTAGATAAATCGGGTAATCGTGATGGTTATAAGACAGGTCCTCCATGCCCAATCCACTGCTGCGCAAATGAATTGTTCAAGTAATCCCGTACGGCACGGGAAAAATAGGCTGGAGTCCCATCGTGCTGGTACGCTATTACACGCCAAACAGATGTAAGAACACTGTCAAGTAACTGTGTCAGTGCCTCCTCCAGAAAAATGCGATAGTTTCGATAATCCCAATAGGGGGAATAAGCGATATAATTGATGACCAATAACGCTCACCCATATATCACTGAGCAGTATGTGGGTTCATATTTCGTGGGTTGTCATGGCACCACAGATGAATATTGCGTTGATTCAAGATACTTTCATGACAGAAAATTGCTTCAACCGAAAAAAGAATGCAGGATAGAAACGCTGGGCTCTGGTTGCATTTGTCCACGTAGCAGAGCGCGTATTCTAAATGTCGAGGATAATCCTGAGGTTCAAAAACATAAAAATTTCCAAAAGTGTCCACAATTTTGGTCACCACTGTATATTGATTAGGCTGTATAAAATTTCGATAGTATGGCTATCTTCGACACATAAGAAGTTTTTGCTATTATTGTATAGCTTCTTTTTATGAGCAACCTCTAATTATAAGCATTTGTACAATTAAACACTTAGCCTATATTTTTTACAGATGTAATATTACAAAATTTCGAGAAAATAATTCTTAAGTAGATTCTGTTCTAGATATTCTACATGCTATTCTAGGTATTCTGGATTCTGTTCTAGATGTACTAATTCTAGATATTTTATATCTTGTTATATTTTCCATATATAGGAATGGTTTCAATTTAAAATTAATTCTTTTCTTCTTAGGTTACTCTTCAAAAAAGGCAATCACTCCAGTTCAAACAAAAATCGTTGGCTTTTTCACTGTTCTCAAGAAACCGCCACCGGTGGACATAATCCCTCCCAATCGGATCTGTGATTTGAAAGTTATTTCTGTGAACCATGAGAATAATACAGTAGAACTTCAGTGGACTGCACCTGGAAATGACTATGACTATGGAAATGGTATGTTTTTAAATTTCACTAAAAATTTTAAAGAAAACATAAAATAATCATTATGCTTTTCTTAATAATAGTTTTATATTTATTAAATTATGAAAATGGCGGTTACAATGCGACAACTACTTTTAATAATCGTATTCAAAATGTGTAATAGTCGAAATACTACCAGAAAATTGAAATGTAAACTACAGCCTGAATAAAGCCTTAAATAAATTACGAAATATAATTTTGATTAAAAATACACGTAGCAATTATATAACAAAATTAAAAAGTCATTCATTTGATTTTAATAGATAATTTCATATGCAAATTTATAGCACAGTGCTTCAATACTTACTCTATAGTAAAAGACTTCTGTGGGAAATCACCTTCACGCCATTTACCAAGTATGGGCGAGGCGAACTAGGATGCTTACATTCATTCGATTGTCATTTTGCTCCTCATGATTCTCAGAAGCCTGGCCATGTTTCCTCTGTCGTGATGATCTGTGCAATAAAACCATCTCCTTCCCTCTGGAGTCGATTCAAAACGTTTCGTGCAAGTACATACCTATATACTAAAGTGGTAGCGTGGATAACGTACGGGTATTCAATGCTCTGCAGGTTTGTGGTATCCAAGGATCTGGTGTAGATCGTGGAGCTTAGTTCTGTGGCATATGGCTATATCAATGATTAGTGCTGGTATATCAAACTTAACCCTTCAAGTGGACAAAATGTTGCTGTTTTCTTGACATCTAGCACCAAGCTGCTCTCGGACGTCTAAGGTGCATGCTGCTTGTAGCGATTTTCAGAACAGATGTCAGATGAATGAATGTCTGTTAACGTGGATCTAACTGGAGACGTTTGTTCCTAAAAGAAAAAAGTTGTTCAGTTCGATACATGCTATATCAACACAGAAATTACGTATCATACAAGTTTGCTGCTTATGGGAACTGCGCAAGCAGGTATTTGTAAAATTAGGCGATATCTACTTCATTGAATTTTTGGTTTAAATTTCAGTCGCACTGAATTTCTGTTAATTCCATTTGTAAATGGGATTGTACTTTCTTAACGTCGGTTGGAAAATTATTTATGTAAAAAGACCTTCTCAACAGTACTTTTTAACAGCCAAGGTTGTATATATATCTTGATATTAGATGAAATTCCAATTTTTTTATATATATTTATATACTTTTCGTTACTTTTTCGGGATGAAGAGGGCCACAGAAAAATAAATCAAGAGTCGCGAACTTGACATGTCTGCGATAGTATGATTCATCATCAATCATCATCCAATAAAAGAATTGAAGTGTGTGGCTGTCAAACTGGAGTCGTCCGGAACGACGTCGATTCTGAATGGCACTTCTTTCACAGAATTGTTTCCCTCTCCTTTCCTGTCACCGTAGGATATGCTAACACAACATAACTACATACTTGTCGAAGAGACTAATAGCAGGTTTGTGTAACGTATTTCTTTTGAAAGCGTTGTTCCTGCTTCTTAAAAAAGATTTTAGGGCGCTTGATTTTTGACTCCACACTTCAAATCACTTCACACTACAACTGCCGCCACTAACTGCGAACCTTCAGTTGACTGTCAACCATCTGTGTAAGAAAGTACTAGTACCACTGAGCGTCGTGCACAACTGTCACGACGGAGTGGTATTGCCACTACTTTTTATCCAATTCTTGTACGTATGAAAAATAATGAATCACGTACATCGACCCAACAAGAGAAGTGCACGTTTTTGATTCATGGCTTTTGCCCAAATAATGCATAATTAAAAAATAATCTTAAAATGACTATGCATGCAAACATCTAAGGTGCATTTTATGAAATAACCATCAAATTCGAGGTTCAAATTCTAAATATTATTTATGTTATTTAAGTTCTTCTATTTTGAGCAATGCTGATAGCCTCTTAATAATGTAAAAGATGCAAACGAGAAGTTTTCATTTCGAATTCCGCTGCCGCCAACGTTCTTCTATTTATGGGTTTTATTAAGTTCTAAACATTACTTTATTTTCAAAGAAAATATATTTAAAAAATAGTTTTGAAGAAACGCCGCGAGGAATTAAGTAGTACAAAATTTTCTTTGCAGAAACACTTTCTCATCCGTTTTAATTTATTATACATTTCCCACAAATGTATTTGCACAAATGTAATAGGTAAAATTTGTTATAGAATTTTCAACATATGAAGTATCGACATTCAGGACATTGAATAAAATGTATTTTATTAGTTCAAAGGGGCAATTTGCCCAGAAAAGCTATTAATTTCGTTTTGGCACTTTGCGTCGATTCACTAGAAACGGCGAATGACTTTAAATTCTTGCCACCAAATATTAGAGAACTTTATTATATTTAAAGAAATTAAATAATTAATAATATGCATAAATGTATGGATTTTTTTCGCATTGTGATAAAACTACGGTATCTAGAGCCATCAAATTTTGAATAATATATGCCTCCACTCGAATATGAACATCTAGAAGTCTAAATTGGGAATTTGTTTTATTATCTGTTTCATATTTTGTAAAGCATTTATGAGTTTCTGATTAAAATCTCAACGGTTTCAAAGAAAGCAATGGCAACACTGTACGGGATAAATAAAAAAAACATTTTTATTTCCTGCGCGCGAGACTGTGTATCGGAAAATCTAGAGAAAAAGTTGTTCTTTTAAATATTTTGTGATATTGCTGTTGAATTGAATTTTATGGTTTAAGTGCGAAGAACATAATATTTTATAAATAAAGGTAACACAAAAAACTTTAAAAAAACGCCCCTTTGAGCGTAATATAAAATCTGAAAGCTTTCGGATTTTTTTCCTTAGTAGAAAGGGGTAATTTGCCCAAAAGAGCTATTAATTTCGTTTTGGCACTTTGCGTTTATTCACTATAAACAGCGAATCACTTCTTTAAAATGTTGCCACCAAGTATTAGAGTTTTAGATTAGCTGCGTTTACAATGCCAATCTGCCTGAGAGATTAAATCCTTTTCCGCCGAATGGAAAAGACATCAAGTTGCAGCTATTTTTAACCAGAGTTTAAATCTCCAGCGTACTAAAAGAATTTCGTAGTAGCCTAATGCTTTCGTAGTAGCCTAATGCTTCCGCAGTAGCCTAATGCTGGCCTTTTTATTATCAAGAAGACACTTCGTAAAATACGGAAACGTTTCTTTGACACAATGCCTATGCAGGTGGTGATGCAAGTTTTACACTGCATGTTTTGGCACACAAAAACACGTATACGGGGATAGAGCGCTCTTTTACTTTCTCAAATGATTATTCGAAACAGCTAATGATAAAAAATACAGTTTGATTGACACGGATTATTTGAGTGACTGACGGAGAGCTTCTTCCGTTGACATCTGTCGTCGCAGTTCCTTGTGCAAAACTGGATTCTTTGATTTCAGATGACCCTTCTTATTGCCTGAAAAAGAAGAATGTCTGCAGTTTTGAAAGACTTTAAAGAAGCCTCAGACAGTTAGTTCCCTTGTAGAGATATTTAAACTAAAGTTTATGAAGCATATCTCGTCGTTTAAGATACAAAATCCACAGGACTTAAATCAGAAATTAGTTTCTTTAAGTTACAAAAATGCCATTCAGGCGATACAAGAGCTGTTCCGAATATTCATAGGTATCATCACTTTTCAAAGCCTGAGGTATTCTTTGGTGCAAGTTTTATTTTCGAAATTATAGCCTTCAGATTCTAGACACCATTTACAGGAGATGCACTAGCTTTTCCCCATGTACTATCATACACCAACAGAAAAAGTTGTGACCCATTTTATATCTGTGGAAGATAGTGGAAGTGGCAGCTTTCCCTTCCTGACCTGTACTAAACTTCCAAAAACAGTGCTGTACCTCTCAGCGATGTTTCAGTTTCATGCATTTTCATTAAACTCCATGTTTACATAAGCAACATCAACCAGGTACTCAAAGATGTTGAAAATTTAGATTCAAATTCGGTATAATAGGTACAAAAGTTTCAGAGGCAATGTATTGCAAACTGCCGGTGGTTTTCTTTGTCATTTCATAAATGAGATTCCTTCGTTTGTTGTAACTGCAGTCTGAATCTTAAGCCCTTTCTTATATTTTATATTAAATATAATTCATAATGACAAATCCTTTATTGGCGGGATTGTCTGAAGTAATGATTTCCTTGCTTAAATTTTAAATAGTTCTGAAATTTCCGTCCACATTTTCAAGATTCGAACAATGTGCGTAAATCAGTATATTGTATCTTCTTGCAAAACACGGAATTTCCAAACTTCCCAAAACACTAAACGCATTTAATTTCATTCTTTCATATCTCCTGAGTTTTGTCGGAATGAGGAAAACAAATTGAAGCACGTGAAAAAACAACAACTAAACATATTGCACGCATTAAAAAGCATCACAGTAAACGATTACATGTGTAACCCTCCGTTCAATAAAACGGCATTTTGTGGCGTTTCAACTATAAATTGCGAATCACTTTTTAAATTGTTATCACCAAGTATGATCGCCCTGTATTATATTAAAAAAATTAAATAATGAAGAATCTCCACGTATGTTTTTCGCATTGTGAAAAAATGACGGTACCTAGAGCAATAAAATTTTGAATAACGTAATCCTCCATCCGAACATGGGCCCCTGAAGCCCGAATTTTGAATTTGTTTTATTATCTCTTTCATATTTTGTAAAATTTTAACGAATTTTTGATTAACAAACTCAACGACTTCAAAACGAGCAAGCAATGGCAAAACAGTGCAGGGGGGGATTATCGCAAGCGCGCGAAACTGTTTGTCGGAAATTCTAAAGATATGCTGTTTTTAAATATTTTGTGACTTTACTGTTGAATTGAATTTTATGTGGTTTAAGTGCAAAGAACATGATATTTAATAAATAATGGTAACACACTAAACGTTAAAAAAAAGTCCCTTTAGGAGTAATATAAAATCTGAAAGCTTTCGGATTTTTATTTATTTATTTTTTATTTTGCTTCCTTTTTTTGTTAAGGCGACTATTCGTTCAAATTATTGCATT